TAAAGGAAGAGTCGGGGTGCAAATTAAATCAAGTGAAAAGATGCAGTTAATATCTGCTCTTACCAGAGCCTGTCAACAGTGGGTTAAAGTTTGTACACATATCATTTAAGTGCACCTTGTTCCAGCCCTCTGAACCTTATTTCATGGCAAATCATTATGACTCGGCGCAGCCTGGAGAGGAAATGGGGAATTTAAGATGCCTCAGGTTCATACTGGGACAAGCCTGATCCAGACGTCCACATTTCCGCAAAGACCGTGAGGGCAAAGAGCCATCATGCTGTCAGCGTATAAAATGCATGAGAGCAGTCTGACGCAGAGATTTTAAGGCTTTTATAAGAACTTTTCATAAGTCTCACTTCTGCAGGAAAAAGGGAATCACTCACAGCACAAAATGTAGTAATGTTTACTATTCAGGGATTTCACAAACAATGAAAAACAAGAAAAGAAAAAGAAAGGGGGGTAAATTAGCAGACGAGCAATGAACCCTCACATTTAGGTCCTGTCATACGCAGGTATTCTGGTAAACTCAGCTTACATTACATTAAAAAAATAAAAAAAATAAAAAATAAAATGGTGCTTAAGGTCACTTAATACAGAGCTTTGGGAAAACTCGCTCCTACTGGCTCGTAAAAATCAACATTTTGTCTTACATCATAGAAGGTGTGCTCCTATATTTGTTTTGTTTTTGGCAAACTGGACACCATGATATCATTTGTAGGTCTGGCACACATTTCTACATGCGTAAGTGTGGATGTCGGCTTACAGGAAATCAGAGAATTGCAAGTCTATTAATTTATGATTTTTTTTTTTAACTGCTGCTTTCCTAACTTTGTTAACTTTATGACTAAAATAAGTTAAAAGGATACCAACGAATTACTTCTTCCTCCACTCTACTCAGGATCCTTTAATAGGCAGTTTGTCTACTGAGTTCCTCTGAAGAATAACAATAATAATAATAATAATAATAATAATAATAATAATATTATTATTCTTATCATCAACAACAACAACAGTAACAACAGCAACATCTTTTAACGAGTATTTAACATGTTTTGTCTTCATCAAGGTCGTGTCAGGTAATTTGTAGTCAAGTCTGGTCCCATTCATATTCATACCATTTTAAAACTACATGAACTCACACTGCACTGCAGCTGCACAGGGCCACAACCACGAGACATGATAGAAAATGTTATAAAACAATGCACACAAATAAAAACCCTGAGACTCACACAATTCCTAAATCGGTGTGGAAATCCTAGGAAATGACAGCAGCTTCCACGATTTGAGTTCACTGATTTGCACAGCCACTCCCAAAAGGAAATCACCAAACATGAGCACGATGTCAGGCTGAATGATTGAAGTGAAATAAATGATGTGTGATTACCAAGCTACATTAAACACCACATATCTGATCATTTGTGCGCTGACCTTCACACTGAACCCAAAGCCTTCAGTTTTAGTAACATTAAGACGTGACTGTTTTATTCTTTGCAATATGGGACGGAAAGATTAGCAGTAAGGCCTTTATCAAAACCAACAGTATCTGATAATTGCAAACTGCTGTAACATACTGAATACTTTAAAAGGGCAAGTACTTAATGTGAACTTCGATTTCTATGTGAATGGGATGGAAACAGCAGCGATGATTAAGTATTAATTATTTAGTCACAGGACATTACCTAATATATTTTATCCATACCATTTTACCATTTCCACACAAATCTTTAAAACAACCCATTCTTTCTGAATGTTTGTAAAGGCACAATGAAAGGCTAGGTGCCCGATTTCATACACATGTGACTATAGGACTGAAAACCCCTGAATGCAAGGAGTAAGAGCTCTGGCCCAATACCATTTTCCACATATGACATTAGCTACTCTGCTTACTTAGCCTCTGGAGGAAACATCCAATGTCTTGTGTATCCTGGATATCGACATTACACAGAAAATTTAAGACTTCCAATGTTATGCAGTTGTTTGGAAATACGAATTTTAAAAAAGCAAACAAAACCCATGGTTTTGATACTGCAGTGTTTCCATTTTCATTAACTGACCTTCAAAGCCAAAGGAAGGAAGAAAAACTCCTTTCTTTCATTAATCATTCACTTTGTGTTATTTATGTGCATTTCTTTAATTTCAGTTCAATGTAAGTATTTATTACATTTGGAAGTTTCCTGATTTCTCTTTGCTGCTCCGTCTGTGTCTGTGTGTGTCTGTGTGAGTGAGAGAGAGGAAGGAGTGGTGGAGCACAACACAGAACCCAGCAGCAGAGGAAGAACAGAAGCATCAATTGGGCTGAAGACAACTCCTCATTACCGTACAGCAAGTGCAATAAAAGCTTCCCAACACGTGCTCCAAAGAGAGACAGACGCTAACAAACCCCAGATATCTGTAAGCCCGAGTACTGGCTGACACTCTGTCCTCATGTGAATTTTCAGTAGTTCAGCTGTAATTTTGTGTCAGAGTTTAAATGACACCTCGTAGAGGCAGAGTAACAATTATGAAATGTCCAATTTTCTTCAATACAACAAACTAGAACAATGACACAAAACTAAATGGAGGAGTAAAGCAGTGAACCTCGGGCAAACTGTCTCGGATTTCAGCAAATGCATTTCCCCTTTTTGCTCTTCACATTGACCGTATCCCTGCATGCAACCAAAGCCTGCTCAGACCTGACTGTAAACAGAACTAAGACAACCAAAAACCTTTCCTTGCCGACAGATTCCGCATATAGCATATCTGCTTATGGAGAGTACCCAACTCAAATCATAAGAATTATCTAAGCCCACTCTTACCTGGCACTGTGAAGTCCTGAGTGTATATGATCTCATCCTCCCCATCATAGAGCTCGTCATC